TCAAAGCTGAATTTTCAGCATCATTACTCCAGTCTTCAGTGTCACATGATCCTTCAGAAATCACTCTAATATGAGGATCTGATGCTCAAGACACATTTATGATTATTATCAGTGTTGAACACAGTTATTTACATGTTTATTTCATTATTCTTTGATGAATAGAAAGTTCAAAAGAACAGCATTTATCTGAAATAGAAGCTTTTGTAACATTAAACACCACCGTTCAAAAGTTTGGGGTCAGTAAGAATTTTTTTTTATTTTTGGGGGGGAAAGAAATGAAAGAAATCAATACTATTATTCAGCAAGGACGCATTAAATTGATCAAAAGTGACAGTAAAGACATTTATAATGTTACAAAAGATTATATTTCAAATAAATGCTGTTCTTTTGAACTTTCTATTCATCAAAGAATCCTGAGAAATAAAATGTATGACAGTTTCCACAGAAATATGAACTGTTTCCAATAATAATCATAAATGTGTCTTGAGCATCAGATCCTCATATTAGAGTGATTTCTGAAGGATCATGTGACACTGAATAATATTTCACTGTTTTACTGTATTTATGATCCAATAAATGCAGCTTTGGTGAGCAGAAGAGACTCTTATAAAAACATAAACAATCGTAACGTTGCCGATCCAGAACGTCGGAACGGGAGTGTGTATTCGGAACGGGAGTGTGTATTCGGAACGGGAGTGTGTATTCGGAACAGGAGTGTGTATTCGGAACAGGAGTGTGTATTCGGAACGGGAGTGTGTATTCGGAACGGGAGTGTGTATTCGGAACAGGAGTGTGTATTCGGAACAGGAGTGTGTATTCAGAACAGGAGTGTGTATTCGGAACAGGAGTGTGTATTCGGAACAGGAGTGTGTATTCAGAACAGGAGTGTGTATTCGGAACAGGAGTGTGTATTCGGAACAGGAGTGTGTATTCAGAACGGGAGTGTGTATTCCAGTTCTGGTTCCGGTCCACTGTCAGTCGCTCCCGGTTCTGGTTCCGGTTCCGGAACTATCGTGTGTGAGCTTATGCTAACGTGTGCGAGCTTATGCTAACGTGTGTGAGTTTATGCTAACGTATGTGAGCGTTTGCTAACGTGTGTGAGTTTATGCTAACGTGTGTGAGCGTTTGCTAACGTGTGTGAGCGTTTGCTAACGTGTGTGAGCTTATGCTAACGTGTGTGAGCGTTTGCTAACGTGTGTGAGCGTTTGCTAACGTGTGTGAGCGTTTGCTAACGTGTGTGAGCGTTTGCTAACGTGTGTGAGCGTTTGCTAACGTGTGTGAGTTTATGCTAACGTGTGTGAGCGTTTGCTAACGTGTGTGAGCATTTGCTAACGTGTGTGAGCGTTTGCTAACGTGTGTGAGTTTATGCTAACGTGTGTGAGCGTTTGCTAACGTGTGTGAGCGTTTGCTAACGTGTGTGAGTTTATGCTAACGTGTGTGAGCGTTTGCTAACGTGTGTGAGCATTTGCTAACGTGTGTGAGCGTTTGCTAACGTGTGTGAGTTTATGCTAACGTGTGTGAGCGTTTGCTAACGTGTGTGAGCGTTTGCTAACGTGTGTGAGCTTATGCTAACGTGTGTGAGCGTTTGCTAACGTGTGTGAGCGTTTGCTAACGTGTGTGAGCTTATGCTAACGTGTGTGAGCGTTTGCTAACGTGTGTGAGCGTTTGCTAACGTGTGTGAGTTTATGCTAACGTGTGTGAGCGTTTGCTAACGTGTGTGAGCATTTGCTAACGTGTGTGAGCGTTTGCTAACGTGTGTGAGGTTTTGCTAACGTGTGTGAGCGTTTGCTAACGTGTGTGAGCTTATGCTAACGTGTGTGAGCTTATGCTAACGTGTGTGAGCGTTTGCTAACGTGTGTGAGCGTTTGCTAACGTGTGTGAGCGTTTGCTAACGTGTGTGAGCTTATGCTAACGTGTGTGAGCGTTTGCTAACGTGTGTGAGCTTATGCTAACGTGTGTGAGCGTTTGCTAACGTGTGTGAGCGTTTGCTGAAAGCAGTGTGAGTTTGTTCACTTCTGACACACACTTAATGCCACAGTTCCTCTGGTTCCCAGTAGATGCTCGTGTCCCACTGGGACGGCACTGGTGCGACTGAAACTCCTGCACTCGCGCGTCAGAACTCTGCTTTATACATCATTAAATCTAAAGCCTTCCTCGCTTCTGGAACTTCCAGTGCCTGTTTGTGGAAAAACAATAAATAATGAATAATAAATAAATAAATGAAGACGGAGACTAGACAGCCTTCAAATTATTGAAGTGGATAAGGGGGATTTTATATGTGAAATATCATATTTTATTTAGATGTCTTTCTCAGGAAGTGTCGTGCAGAACTCATGTTTGTTTAGGATGATGAGGGAGATTTGACACGAGGGAAACATGTTCATCTCACATGATCAGATCGAGCGATGATGTGAATCTGTGCAGGAACACCTCATGCAGTTACAGTCGTGCGGACGTGACGCTTCGGCTCCTTTTTACATCATTCATTTGTTTTATGTGTCAGAATCAACCATTTTTTTACATGCATGTTTAAATGAAAGATTTTCACTTTGCTCTCGGACGTTTGAACCGCACATGTTTCAGAGAAATGGAGGAGTTAAACACGCCGGCACGTCTGAGACGCTCAGGAGGCGTTTCTCTACACTACACACCGTTTAATATCTCAGTGTTCATTCATGGATTAGCTGAGCGCTTATACCGTCGGGTTATCTTACACCAGCCTAAGCTTGAGGAGTTATTAATGCAGACGCAGAGGATTTTGTAAAATTAGGAGCCTAGAAGCGCATTTTACAGTTTGCATTTCATAAGTGCAATGCAGATATTAATTTTCATGTAGTAGTTCATGTAAAGCTGAAGATTTAATTTTGGCACCACTTGCATTAAACATCACTTAACGACTGTGTTCAAACTGGTCTAAACTCAAAGCACTTCCTCAGAAATAATAAAACACACTTTACATTCGGTTAGCATTAGCTAATGCATGAACTAACAATGTTTTCACCGCATGTATTCATCTTTCCTAGTGTAAATTAAAGGTGACATATTATGCCCCTTTTCACCAGATGTAATATATATCTATGGCGTCCCCAGAATGTGTGTGTGTGTGTGTGTGTGTGTGTGTGAGTTGGTTTATGTGATTTATGAGGACACAAATTTGTATAATGACATGTGTATTACACTGGTATTACAACTTATGGGTGGTTTATGAGGACATTTCAAAAGTCCTCATAAATCAAATGGCTTAAAAAACATAAAAAAACAATGTTTTATTAAAAAATTAAAAATGCTGCATGTCTCCTGTGATGGGTAGGTTTAGGGATAGGGGCAGTGTAGGGGGATAGAATATACAGTTTTTACGGTATAAAAACCATTACACCTATGGAGAGTCCTCATAATGCTGTTGCACCAACATGTGTGTGTGTGTGTGTGTGTGTGTGTGTGTGTGTGTGTGTGTGTGTGTGTGTGTGTGTGTGTGTGTGTGTGTGTGAACTTTCAGCTCAGACCAGATCATTTATTATAGCTTGTGAAATCCTGTTCTCTGGGTCGGCAGAAGCACCGGGACTTAAACACGGACAAAGTCAGATTCTCATGATGTCACCTTTAATACATGTTCATTTTAGTTCATAGTGCATTAACTAATGTTAACAGATCTAAAAATGTATTAGGAAATGTGACCTAAAAAACAGTCACGAGGGTCAATTTTTTTAAATTGAGATTTATACATCATCTGAACGCTGTAAATGAGCTTTCCACTGATGTGTGGTTACGACAATATTGAAAATCTGGAATCTGCAAAAAAATCTAAACATTGAGAAAATCTCTTTTAAAAATGTCCATTTATGTTCGTGATTTTGCTGCATTCACTCACAAAAATATATTTTTTATATATATTTACGGTAGTAAATGTACAAAATATCTTCATGGAACTTGATCTTTACATAATATCCTAATGATTTTTGGCGTTAAAGAAAACTTGATTATTTTGACCCATACCCGTGCGACTCGTGACTGGGTCTGTGATCCAGGGTCACACATGTAGAAGTTAACTAAGATTAATAAATACTGTAGAAGCATTAACCAATATAGTTGCTATCTAACCTTCTCGTAAAGTGTTACCTTAAAGTGTGTATCATTCAAAAAACATCTTTTGATAGTCCTAAAAACACTGTTATTCAAAACTACATATTCTCAACTAGTGCTAGTTATATGTTTATTTGTATATCAAAACACATCGAAGTCTGACATTTGCTGGTTACATTGGAGCTTTGAGTCGCTTCCCAGCTGTGCGTTTAAAAGACGTCTAATAGCCGGCCAAACACAGCCTGACGTCTAGGCTAAACCAAGGCAGAGTTCGGGCTGTCAGTGAACATGTAATATGTGAATAGACTAGCCATCATCTAGATAACAGTGAAGAAATTAAACCAAACACCTTGTAATCACTGTTTACTTTGCTTACATGGTGGAATATCACACATCTCGCAAGTTATTCTGGCAAAAACGACATGTAACCAAATCAAGGATATTCTGGCTAGAAGTGTGTTACAGCCGGACTACATCGGGTCTATAGTTCACCGAGACGGAGGAATGACGGATACACTGCACAAATGCTTTTCTTACTCAGTATTTTTGTCTTGTTTCCAGTCCAAATATTTCCAGATATATCCCCATATATATATTTTGCCAATGGGGTAAGAAAAATAATCTTAATTCAAATGGAAAACAAGATTATTTTTCTGACCCCATTGGCAGATCATTTAGCTTGTTATAAGCAAAAACTCACTTAATTAAGTCCCCCCCCCCCCCCCCCACAGATATTTGGACTGGAAACAAGACAAACATACTGAGTAAGAACATTATTTTTTTGCAGTGTACTGCTTGCTGGGCTACTGTTGTTGAGGATGTCTGAGGCTCATGTGGAGGTTCTGAGGCTCATGTGGAGGTTCTGGGGCTCATGTGGAGGTTCTGGGGCTCATGTGGAGGTTCTGAGGCTCATGTGGAGGTTCTGAGGCTCATACGAGGCCCATGACGCGGGCGGCCCACCATCGGCAGGGCATGATGACCCGGCACACCGGCCGGCACCCGTGGTAGTTGTAGGGCCAGGGCCAGTAGCCTCCGTGCGGCTCACACACACGCTCGCAGTGTGTGTGACTGCGGTGGCATTCAGTACAGCAGATCCCACGGTGGTCCAGCATGGGATCGAACACCATGTGGCCTTCAGAACCCTCCTGATTCTGCTGGAGAGACGAGATGAAACAGATGTGAGCCAGGCACCAATTCTGATTCACTCGGAGCGTAAAAATATTTAAAAACACACTTCCTTCTAAGACTATAGGATATGTTAGTGTGGTGTTGCAGTTTTGTTAAGTGGCCCGGGTTCTACGTTTCTGAAAGAGTCTCTTCTGCTCACATAGGCTGCGTTTAGTGATCAAAAATACAGTAAAAGTTGTGAAATATTATTAGAATGTAAAATCATGTTTTTCTAAGTGAATATATAGTAAAGTGTAATTTATTCCTGTGATCAAAGCTGCATTTATGTGATTAAAAATACAGTAAAAATTGTGAAATATTATTAGAATGTAAAATCATGTTTTTCTAAGTGAATATATAGTAAAGTGTAATTTATTCCTGTGATCAAAGCTGCATTTATGTGATTAAAAAGTACAGTAAAAATTGTGAAATATTATTAGAATCTAAAATCACGTTTTTCTAAGTGAATATATAAAGTGTAATTTATTCCTGTGATCAAAGCTGAATTTATTTGATAAAAAATACAGTAAAAATTGTGAAATATTATTACAATGTAAAAGAACTGTATTCTAAGTGAATATATAGTAAAGTGTAATTTATTCATGTGGTCAAAGCTGCATTTATGTGATCAGAAATACAGTAAAAATGTTGAAATATTATTAGAATCTAAAAGAACTGTTTTCTAAGTGAATATATTGTAAAGTGTAATTTATTCATGTGATCAAAGCTGCGTTTATGTGATCAAAAATACAGTAAAAATTGTGAAATATTATTAGAATGTAAAATCACGTTTTCTAAGTGAATATATAAAGTGTAATTTATTCCTGTGATTAAAGCTGAATTTATTTGATAAAAAATACAGTACAAATTGTGAAATATTATTAGAATGTAAAATAACTGTTTTCTAAGTGAATATATAGTAAAGTGTAATTTATTCATGTGGTCAAAGCTGCATTTATGTGATGAAAAATACAGTAAAAATTTTGAAATATTATTAGAATCTAAAATAACTGTTTTCTAAGTGAATATATAGTAAAGTGTAATTTATTCATGTGGTCAAAGCTGTATTTATGTGATCAAAATACAGTACAAATTTTGAAATATTATTAGAATCTAAAATAACTGTTTTCTAAGTGAATATATAGTAAAGTGTAATTTATTCCTGTGATCAAAGCTGTATTTATGTGATCAAAAATACAGTAAAAATTGTGAAATATTATTAGGATGTAAAAGAACTGTTTTCTAAGTGAATATATTGTAAAGTGTAATTTATTCATGTGATCAAAGCTGCGTTTATGTGATCAAAAATACAGTAAAAATTGTGAAATATTATTAGAATGTAAAAGAACTGTTTTCTAAGTGAATATATTGTAAAGTGTAATTTATTCATGTGGTCAAAGCTGTATTTATGTGATCAAAATACAGTAAAAATTGTGAAATATTATTACAATGTGAAAGCTGTTTTCTATGAAACATTTATGATTATTATCAATGTGGAAATGATTGATAATGGCGGCTTTGCTCACGTGATAAGGGTTCTCCGGGTTATACTCGGGCCGCTCTTCCTCTCTCACTGAACTTGTGGAGTTTCGACGTCTCGTTGTTTGCCGGTTTAATCCACCTGTACTCTGCCGTCTCACTCGCGTCACACTTCTCCTCTTCCTCAGTGCTTCAGAAGCCGAGAGCGAGAATAGAGATAAGCAGCATTAAAGAGCGAGACATTTCTAAGCTTTAGATGACCTCACGCACAAACGCCACGGTCACCGAGGAACTGTGTCCAGTGCTTCTGATTTGCCTACTGTATATCCCACTGGATCGATGTATTTGTATCTGCAAACATGTTTATGTGCTCTGAGTAGCTCATGCCTCATACTAAACTATTAATCGTACAATATAAAGATTAATACTTTAATCATACAGTTACCTTGAGATTTGTGTGTTGCAGGTTTATTTAGTAGAAATATGAAGTACCTCTGGAGTTTGCAGGATGATGCCAGTAAATGGGAAGATCTCCACAGAATCTCAGTATTTCAGGGCTCAGGAAACTGCTGTCCTTCAGCGGCTCATCCGACGCAATCCAGACCAGAGACGCCACATCAGGTTTCACTGCAACATTGTCTTCCTCCTATTGGACATTAAAACATAACTGATGATTGAACACTGAATACTAGAACTTCTGCCTCTTCCTGGCTTAAAGGTATATATGTATATATGTATATATACACACTTATGTGTGTGTGCGTGTGTGTATGTACAGTAGTCAACATTTGAAGTGGATCAAAACCTTTCATCAAAGTTATACATGAATTTTGAACAATACCCGTTCTTGCCTGAAATGTAGGGGGCGTGTTGAAAGTTAGTGGGCGTGTCGAAAGTTAGTGGGGGTGTCAAAAGGTAGTGGGCGTGTCTGAAAGGTAGTGGGCGTGTCTGAAAGGGAGGGGGCGTGTTGAACGTTAGTGGGCGTGTCTTAAAGGAAGGGACGTGTCAAGAGTTGGTGGGCGTGTCTGAAAGGTAGGGGGCGTGTCAAGAATTAGTGGGCGTGTCTGAAAGGTAGGGGGCGTGTCAAGAATTAGTGGGCGTGTCTGAAAGGTAGGGGGCGTGCTAAAACATCTTTGCAGTTGGTTGTGAAGCTGCCTGTTAGGCTGTGGGCGGGGTTAGGGCATTGTTTACGCCCATTACTAACCCTGTGTCAGAATAAACAGAACTATATTGTTGTGTTGGTGTGGACGCTAATAGTTATTGTTATAGTTATCGTCCGTTGTGTGATCCTGACATAGAAGCACAATGAGTTTGGGGGCGGGACTACCTGTTTGATAGACAGCGATGGGGGCGTGGTCAGGGAACTGTTTAGTGATTCTAATCGTGCCGAAATTACACACTTTAGATTTTTATTTCTAGGCAGAATTACAGGTAATTACCTTTCATTTAGCTCGATAAAGGTTTTTACCCTTATTTAATCAAGAATCGTATTTATTCATGTAGCTTTTGATTTATGAAACTTGATGAACTTGAGGACTATTTTTAGACGTCAGTTCCATTCACATTTCATTAAAGTGAAATACACTTGATACTGTCAAAATAGCCACTAAATGTGCAGAGACACGGATGGCTTTTATAGTAATGATTGATAAATTGGGTAGATAATGGTGATAATGGCAGTTCTCACCTCAGAAAGTTCAGATCTGGCTTGTGATTTGATGTAACACTTCTCTTTTCCAGGAAACTTGACTGCTGTAATGCCCTGTGAATGAGGCCGGAATAAGGCTGTCATTTCGTGAATAGCTCTCACATATGATGATGAACAGGTTTATGATGTGCTACTCACAGCTTTGAAGTCTTGGACTTCCACGATTTTGTCGTCTCCAGCATCTCCGTGATCTTCGGCCATCTTGATCTCGATGTTCCGGCTGTAGTGAGCGCTGATCGCCTGTCGACACCAGCAGACTACACTCACACATGCTCCGCAGTAAAAAACCTTGGGTTGTTTTGAACCCAACTGTTGGGTTACACATATTGGGTCGCTATGTTGGGTTATATTCCGAAAATGTTGGGTCATTTTTAAAATTGTTGGGTAATTTCTAGTAATAACCCGGCTGTTGGGTTAAATACGTATGTTGTATGTACACTTGCGTATTTTGAATTTATGCACACAATTATGTATATGTACATTAAATTCTAGACTCCCCAATATTTAGTTTTTTAATTAAAAAAATATTTTTGTTGAAACATATTTCTTGTTTTATACAAATAAACAATCTGTATTTGAACAACAAAGTGTATTTATTTATTAAAATAATGTCATGAATAAAAATAAATAGTTAGTTACTTTTCAACCCAACTGGCTTTTAACCCAATGCATTGGTAAGGTGCTATACCACCCCATAATTTGGTTACTCAATGGGTTATTTTTAACCCAACATTATTAAGTGAGTAGTAGTCAAAGGGAAAAGGAAACGCTTCCAAATTGTGTGTATTATTGGCTAAATATATAATAAATAATGCATTTATTGTGTGACATGCTTTCTTTAGTACATTAAACAGTTTGTGCCTGAGGCAAACCGAATTGAGAACCACTGCTTTCATCCATGTAAAACGCAATATTCCTGTACGTTTTGTTGTGCTCGACGTCTGCCTGGTCATGTGTGTTTCTGCGGGAAGCGATGCCTGCTGTGTGTGTGTGTGTGTGTGTGTGTGCACTGTTAACACTGCGGGATTATAACCCAGCACATACACCTCTTTGTTTGCCAAATTCCAGAGGTGCCTGAAATCAATGCACTCTATTGATCCTTCCTGACACTTTCCTGAGACAAACTGCAATCTAAATATTTCCACCTCAGCCTGAAACTCATGGCATGTGCGCTTTAAATATCGCCACGTCTGCACTTTTGCATCAGTTCTAGAGAACACTGGGCAAAGTGGCATTCTGGGTGATTATGTGGAATATTAGAAATATAGCAGTGTTGCAGAATTCCCCACGACTGCATGCATGCAAATTAAAACCCCAAACACAGAACAATTTGCTGCACATCATGAAGAACAACATGTTTTTATGGTTACACAGCGGCATCTTTGTTTCGACAGCAAACTCTGTCATTGATTTACTTCATCAGGTTCTGCTTTGATTTGCCTTCAAACGTCATTTTTGTATGGAGCAGAATTTGACAGACACTCGCAAAAGTGATATTTTTGTGCACTTATTTTAAGCTAAAATGCTTTAGACGGCTTTACTAGAGTGGGATTGTCCACCTACTTCTTTTTCTGTGACTTTCCACAGGTAGAAAGCTCCAACGCCTCCCAACAGCAGAAGAGCGGCTCCTGCGATGAAGACGAAGACCACGGTCCTCCTGAGACGCAGAAACCCTCCAGGCTTCAAGCTCACGTCACTGTACGCCTGATTCAACACACATATACACATAGATAAAGAAGAATAGAGTTATAATGTGAAGAAATGCCCTGCTTAAAGATCCGGGAAGGTCCTTTACCTCAGCGGGCGGTGGCGCGTGCTGGTGTTTCCTCCATGGTGTTCTTGCGTCCACTGAAAGCAAAGCTTTGTGACTGTCTGCAGCTTCTCTCGAGTCTGTATCATGTAGGTGAGAGAGAAGAAAACTCAGGGAAAATAAACAAGATCCCGGAGAAACTCAAGACTGGAATTCCTCTCCAGGGATTTTCTGTGGCTTGAGAAAACATTCGACTGAGACTCGATTTAGGCCATTCATGCGCATTTTAAAACGAACTCATGCATTGACAGGCAAAAGCGGCCTGAATTCACTCTATTAGTTCTACTGTAAACCCATGAGATGCTTTCAACAAAGTTAAGGAAAGTGCTTCAGTTTTAGCTAGATCTGATCTCATTTATGTGCATATCACATCCGCTCATTCCCATGACCATTATGCATGTTTGAAATATAGTAAACTGATTAATCCAGAATATTAAACATGTATAGCTGTGTTGCAGAATTCCCCTTATGACTATATGCATGCAAATTAAACCCAAAACACAGAACAATTTGCTGCACATCAAGAAGAACAAACGGTCAAAATGTTTTCTGGTTACACGGCAGCATCTTTATTTCCATCCGTTTAACTCGATTTCACTGTAAAATCATGCGAGGCTTTTGAAAGGACATTTTTATTTCAACTCAGCAAAGTCAAATAATACTCCTCAGTTTTACTAGGGTTAGATCTGATCTCATTTATGTGCACTAGCCATCAAAAGGCATTCTCATCACGACTATTATCATGTTAGAATAATGATGTGTGAGATTCAATTGTTTCATGTGATTAAGTGTAAGTCGATGTTTATTGGATGTTGATTGTTGTAAACATAGATACTGTCTTGCAAGAAAAAGTTCAGACTTGTCTGATAATAAAGTATTATATCATATCATATCATCATATCAATAAACAGAAATGGAGTATATGGGAATGATGAAAGCATGACACAAATGAGAACTCTTATATTTGAGCTTCTCTGTCTGTATTTCAGCTCATTCTGGACATTCATCCGACGAAGGAGGAACGAGGACTTTCACTTCATCTGGAAAACTTCAACTTTTTTAATATAATGCCATTTGAAAATGTATGAAAAACTGAATTGTGCGCAATTTTTTGCAAACTATTATGTTCTTCCTCAGCATTTTTGCCAGAAAAAATTGTTTTCCCTTTGAATTGCGATTATTTTTCTGACTCCATTGGCAGATATTTGTTCTTCTCCAGTAAATGTGTCTTGATTTAAGAATGTTTAGATATTTGTGCTTGGAAAACACTGGGGAAGAACATAATTTAAGTAATTGTGCAAATGAAATAGTCCAGATCAAAAGGTTTATAAGATCATAAATACTTTTCACTGGTTTCATCAAGGATACAAAACACTGTAGATTTGATCATAACTTATTTTATTCATCATGTTTATTTAATTTCTTAGAAAGAAACAACTTGTGTAAGTAAATGTTATAAAAGTGCTAACATTTGCAGCTTTAAAAATGATATTTCATGAGTTACAGTGCGACCAAAGTGACGAACACAATCACATTATAATCATCCAAAACATGCATGAGACAAAACAGGTAATATCGTTAAAAAATATATTTTTTTATGTACAAAACATTAATGCAGTCAAAGATAAAGTATGTACAGCAATTTTGACTTTTTGTCCCAGAATTCTAAGTTTACATCTCAGAATTTTTACTTTTTGTCCTGGAATTCTGAATTTATATCTTAGAATTTTTACTTTTTGTCCCGGAATTCTGAGTTTATATCTCAGAATTTTTACTTTTTGTCCTGGAATTCTGAGTTTATTTCTCAGAATTTTTACTTTTTGTCCTGGAATTGAATCTATATCTCACAATCTGGACTTTTTTGTCTGGAATTTCTGAGTTTATATCTCAAAATTTTTACTTTTGTCCTGGAATTCTGAGTTTATATCTCAGAATTTGTACTTTTTGTCCCAGAATTCTGACTTTATATCTCAAATTTTTTACTTTTTGTCCAGGAATTCTGAGTTTATATCTCAGAATTTTTACTTTTTGTCCTGGAATTCTGACTTTATATCTTAGAATTTTTACTTTTTGTCCCGGAATTCTGAGTTTATTTCTCAGAATTTTTACTTTTTGTCCTGGAATTGAGTCTATATCTCACAATCTGGACTTTTTTGTCTGGAATTCTGAGTTTATTTCTCAGAATTTGTACTTTTTGTCCCGGAATTCTGAGTTTATTTCTCAGAATTTTTACTTTTTGTCCTGGAATTGAGTCTATATCTCACAATCTGGACTTTTTTTGTCTGGAATTCTGAGTTTATTTCTCAGAATTTGTACTTTTGTCCCGAATTCTGAGTTTATTTCTCAGAATTTTTACTTTTTGTCC